GCTAACCCTAACTTAAACGAATTTAAAGATTTTAAACGCTGTCACGTGAAAGTGAAAATTTTGATGGCGATACTGGGGAAGATGTTTTGGTAGGTGCAAAATCACGTGGATGGTAGGTGTCCAGAGACTTTCCCTTTCCGAGTGCGGGAAATCTACGGACAGTGCTTAGGATCAGTGCAAAATCACGGGTTTAAGTTGTGATTGGTTATTTAGCGGTTAGGGGAGGGGATTTCATATTATATCATGTGATTGCACTGTCCCTAAGCACTGTCCGTAGATTCCGCGTTCCGAGTGCACATTCGTAATCACGTGCTCTAAGACCGCACTAACCTTTTTTTAAATCTTGTAAGCCTCAGATGCCAGTGGCGCACTTTTATTTGATATTTATATACAGATTACATTAATACGTAGATTACGTATACGTCGATGTTATAGATGTTACAATTTGTCTCTGATCTCTAACTTTAAATTTGCACTTAAAGCCTGTTTCTGTTTCTTATAATTTCAAATAATAGTGATAAATCTTAAATCAAATATTTTGCCACTTAAAAAATGAGAATGCAAATTTTTTCACGCTCAATGCCTTGTTTCTTTATAAAGAATACTTACAGTTTGCCGTATTCTTTTTTATCTATTAAATCTAGTTCTCGTTTTGGCTCAAGTTTTAGTCCTTTACAACCTCTTGATGCTTCAGTAGATTACTTAATCATTGGTGGTGGTGTTGTTGGATTGTCCATCGCAGAGCGATTATCAAAAAGAAAGGGAAAATCTACCCTATTAGTTGAAAAGAATTCTAGGGTTAATGAAGAAATAAGGTAATTTAGCTACATTATTTAATTATTTATCTTCATTTCATACTAATCTTTCTTATATATAGTTCACGAAGTAGCGAAGTAATTCATTCTGGACTTTATTACCCAATTAATAGTTTAAAAACACGATTATGTATCCGTGGAAAACGACTTTTGTATTCACTTCTTTTTTCAAACCATTCTAATCAAATAAATTACAATGATTCACCAACTGATGATTCTTTTATAATAGATTCTTTATTAGTACCAAACTCTTTAGACAATTCAAAATCTTTAACCATTCCATATTACAGAATAGGTAAATGGATAGTAGCTCAAAATGATGATGAATACACTTATTTAACAGCTATCCATGAGAAATCCACAAATATAGGGATTCCAACTTACTTTTTATCTGAGAAATTTCAAAAATCACAAGAACCTCATGTAAATGCATTACATGTTTTAGTTGCTCCAACTACTGGAATATTTGATTCTCATGCTTTTATGAATTGGTTAGAATGGAAAATTATAGATAATAATGGTGATATTTCTGTCAATTCTAAAGTCACTAATATCATTTCCGGTCATGATGGTGATAAGAGTGGGTATATTGTAGAAATTACATCTACCTCTTCCACATCAGCAAAGATAAAAATATTTGCAAATTCGGTAATAAATTCAGCGGGATTATGTTCTGATAAAATAGCAAATTTGATATTACCTCATTCACATCATTACAAAATTTATTATGTTAAAGGACATTATTATAGGTATCATGGTAGTGATATCAAAGTTAATCATTTGATTTTTCCTGTTCCCCCAAAAAATTTGGTAAATTTGGGAACACATTTAACATTGGATTTAAATGGTAGCATTAGGTTTGGACCTGATGTTTTATATGTTCAAAGACCAGATGATTATGGAATGAGTGACGATGAGAATAGGAAAGATACATTTTTTAATGCTGTGAAAACTTATTTGCCAAGAATTAAAAAAGATAGACTTTATGCTGATTATGCTGGGATTCGGTAATAACTTGATTTATCAACTTGTTAATTTTATGAAAATTTATTAATTTATTTATTTAACAAACAGACCAAAATTATCGGGGCCAGGTGAACCATTCAGAGATTTCGTGATAAAAGAAGAAACTGAATGTGGACTTGATAGATTTGTAAACTTGGTTGGAATCGAAAGCCCAGGTTTAACTTCTTCCTTGGCTATTGCTGAAATGGTTGATAATATTTTGAAAGATAGATAAACTTATCATAAGAAAAAAAAAAGAATCTCTTGAAATATAAAACATATAAAATATGATTAGAAGAAGATTAAATATGTAAATTGCGAATATAAATGTTGCAAAAATGTTCATTACCTATAATGCTAATTGTAATTATCAAAATCTGCTATATTTCACCTTTTTTCATTATGAAATAATCCAGCAGGTCCGGCTGGACCCCATATTGATGGTATCTAGACATATTCTATACGTGACGCCTTTACGCGAATTAAATCTAATTGCTATCGAAGATTTTAAGAATTCGTTGGAGTTTGTACTCTGTTATTTTTTGTTTTGGTGGCATCTATAATTGTTAGGTGAACCTTTTTTTTGTATGGTGATGAAAGATGAAGCTTAAAAACCGGTGGGAAACAGATTCTCAAAAAGTATAGGGAAAAAAAAGAAGCTAATATGAATTAATTTTATGAGATTACATTTTTGGTGTAATTGATCATTTAATTAAATTAGTATCGTGATTGTTAGAGCACTCGAATGAGGCAGTGTGCATATTAACACGATAGCGTGGTGCCTCTGATGTCATAGAGTATGTTCCAGAAAGCGCTCATTTTCATATTGATCAAAGTGTATAAAAAGTGAAGCATTTACGGAAGAACCTCATTTTCCATCATAAACTATAGGTCATCTCATCACTTCCGATACATCAAATACCTATAATACAAGTTAATAAATTTTATAACTAGTATCCTAATTAATTGGTATTAAAAGAAAGCAATACTTATGGGAAAAAATATTTTAATATAAGATCACAAAAATGTATATATTACAAACTAACTAGATGAACTATATTACTAATTTACAGAATTTCAAAGAGTAATTATGCATATCCGAACTGAAACTTTCTTATATATAATTTTTTTTTATTATGCAGATTGTATTTTTCTTACTAAGTAAAAATGTTTTCGATAATTTTTACATATGTACTAGAATTTTCAAGAAATTTAATTTTTTTTTTAATAGTATGATTATTAATTCAAATACAATATTTTAAAAATAAATAGTCTAATTTTTTTAATAAAACATTCAAAATCCAAAATAAATAAAACAGCGCCAATAAACATCATCTAAGCTATTATACAAGATTGTTCTCCATAGTTGAAAATATAATATAACATATTAAAATTTATACTGATACGTAAAAATTTTTTTTATTGAATTTCTTAATTAGTAAACAATTTTAAAAAAAAGATATTCAAAAAATTTATTAAAATTTAAAACCATAATTTGTCTAAATTATCTCAAAAGTTTATGAGAATTTTTTGTGTATTGTTATAAAAATTTTATACTAAATATTTTTAACCATGGAGAACAAGCTTACTTGATCTTATGTGAGGTTAACACAAGGAGTTTTTTGATATTTAATACAAACATTTTTTAAAGATTTTTTTAATTTTGTAAAATTTTTTAACTGATTTAAAATAAAAAATATATTAGTAAAATATTCATTAATTTTAGAGAATGGCAATTCTAGTGTAATGGTTGGGTTGTCATTCTTTAAGTGGCAAGTCTAGTGTTCAAATTTTATCTATAATAAAATTTGAAAATTATACTTATGTTATAGTAACTACCTTCTGTTGATTGGTTGAATTTAGATATAATCTGTAATCTTAGATACGCTATATTGAATAGAAGCTTAAAGTATTTATGCAAAATGCAATATTATATGTACATAAAGGAATATTAAAACTGGTATTGCATAAGACTTCAGTGCAAACCCATAATAAGATTATCAGATATAAAAGACTAAAAAACTAAAGTAAAGAAATTTACTTAAAAATTTTTAAGTAAAGAGATAACATGAAATTTCAACAGTATTATCAGACTAATTGAAGTTCATAAATTACCTTTAAAGAAACAAATCAGATAAATTAAACACAAAATATGTATAGAAAAGTATATAATCAACTAGGTTACTGAATTTACTAAAGAAAAAAGATACAAAAATATATTATATCAGATTATCTAAATTAGTAGTCTTATTAGAGTCTGTTAGTTCTAAGCAGTAGTTAATATAAAATAATAAAGAAGAGAAAAATAGGTATTAGGATTATAGTAAACTTTACAAAAGTAATAATAATACTAATATAGTAGTTAAACAAATAACCTTTATAACTGCAAGTATTAGATAACTATAATATATTGTATAAAACTAAGTTAGTTGTGTATAAAATATAACAGGTTCTAGTAGATTTTCTATTAAGAATAAAGTAGTTATAAGAGTACTAATAAGAATTAAAAACTTAAATGAGTTGTGCTTTGAAGATGTTATATAATATAGGTTATTTACATATATAAAAAATTTAAATAGACAAAATCTGTAATTGACTTGCAGGTATAACATTTAGTATAGAACTTATATAGTAATATATAAGCAGACTACTTAAATTAGATATCAAAAATATATATGTAACTAACTATAATCTTCTATATAAAAGAGTTCTTAGAGACACTTATATTTATACTTAAATAAAAATTATTTTTCTAAGATAAAGATTTAAAAAAAAATATTCTTTAATTTTTTTTAAAATTATATTTTATATATAAAATATTATGTTAAATATTTTTTTTTTGATATTAAAATGAAGCCTTGCTTATATCTTTATTAGTAGTTTTTAAAGTTAATAACTATATAAAGTTACTGTATACAAAAATAATTCTATATAAATATTATAGCTAAGACTAATACTTGCAGTTAGAGCTAACTATTAAACTGCTAACTATATAACTAACTTAAGTACAAATAAGAAAAAAACTATATTTAAGAGTAAAGCTTAAATATATTTATCTGTAACCTAAACCTATTAAAGTAGTCAAGACTTATTTAGATTTAAATAGTTAAAATATAATTAAAAAAGATGTTATATTTAATCCAAAAAATAGTCTATATATTAATTTTTCTAATAGTATAACTAATAGATAGACATAAATTAGAGTTAGAGTATACTTAATTAGATAGTTCATATATACATGAATAAATATATATTTAATAATTGTATTTAGTTGTTTATTATAATTAGTTTAAATTAGATGTTTAATAAAAGGAAGTTTGAGACCTTGCTGTTTTTTTTATTTAAATTTATACAATTTGGTTTCTAGAGTAATTTATAGTATAGATTATTGATTTTTTTTTTTTTTTTTTGGTATTAAGGTAAGGCCTTGCTTATATCTTTATTAATAATTTAAAATAGTTACATGTATATATGCTATAACTGAGGCCAACACTTGCAGTTAGGGCTAACTGTTAAACTGCTAACTATACAGCTACTACTATTTGTACAAAACAAATAAATTAAAAATTACATGCAAAAATAAAAGCTCAGACTAATTTATTTGTGACCTAAACCTACTAGAGTGGTCAAAGCTTACCTAAATTTGAATGTTTAATATATAATTTGATGATATGCTATATTTGATCTATAGAATAGACCAAATGTTAATTTTGCAAATTGCTTGGCCAATAGGAGAGCATGTGTTAGAGTGAATATGTAGTTAATCTGGAAGTCCACAGAGACATAAGTAAGTATAGTTTCTATGAAAACGTGTATATCTAGTTGCTAAGTTAGATGATATTAGAGGTTTGTTGATTGGTTGAGATTGAGGTATGTTTTGTTGTTTTTTCTAATTAGAGAAATGAATGCAATAAGTTTTCCATAATTGTTCATATGATTGTTTATTGATATTGAGAAGAATATCGATAATAACTTGGAAAGCAGTTTTATATGATATGTTAAAGTTTTGAACTGTTAATATAAGTGACTTTGGAATAAGTCCTTTGAGAGTAAGATTAAAGTAAAATGTGTTAGGTAAGATGTATAAGGGGTTAAGAGCTGGATGATGAAGGATTTTATGAATTAGGTCATTTTTTTGATAATTATCGAGATCAGATAATTTTGCTAAAGATAATTTGATTGGTAGATGTTTGAATAATTTGATTAAGCAAAAGTGTATTAGCACAAGTATGCCAGTGAGAATAAGAGTTAGCTAGGTTACAGTGAAAGCAATTAGTATCTGAATATTGGTTTAGATAAATAGTATGAAATAGTTGATATATTGGTAACTCATTAGAAAGAGTTTTGATTTTAAAAGATTTTAGTTGGTTGAGTCTAAAATTAGTAATGTTGTGTGAAGGTTTTTGATTATAATTAAAATAAAGCTAAATGGATCTCCAATCAATATCCAAATTGAAGTATAACTACTCGCTATTATATTTTTGTGATGCCCATATAGCTAATATGTGGGCTTTACATATTTGCTTAATAAAATATCTTGTAGGAAGTTTTACATAGTGTTGCTTTCATTGAAAAATATGGTAAGGATTATAAAGGTTTGTATAATTAAATGAAAGAAGTAGTGATAATGGATGTTGTTTAGCGAAAGAGTCTGCTTACTCATTAAGATTATTATCTGAATGAGCTTGCACTTTGTGAAAGATGATTTGTAATTTGTGTGATTTAATAATATTAGAAAGAGTATGCCAAATAGGCAATGAGTTGAATTTGAATAGCTTATTAGGATAATTTAAATGAAGTTGAAGGTTGTTAAATTTGGAAATTACTGATTAAGAATCAGTGAAAATATTAATTACTGAATTGTGTAGAGCTGTTGAGATTGCCATAATAATTAAGAAAAGCTCAGCTTTGTATTATGAGGGACAAAATTGTATTTTAGCAGAAAAGGAGTTAATAGTTTGATTATTATTATCAACTTGGATCCAACCGATGCCCATTGTGCATTGGTTAGTACCAATGTTGATTACTGAACCATCAGTATAAAAGGATAGTTGTTGATAAGAGTGGTTGAGTTGAGAGATAAATATGAGTTTGTTAGTAGTTTCACTTAGAATAAAGATTTTTGAGGCAATTAAGTTGAAAATAGGAATTGTAGGTAGAGGGGGAATATGGATTGGATGCTTGATGGCTGTAGAGCAGATAAGGTCTAAGTAATTTGCATTAAGGTTAAGTTGG